TCTAGATATGTGAGTATTCAAGCGAAAGAGTTTCATGTCAAATATATGTCTTATTATGGATATTGGTTGGCTTCTATCAGAGGAATTATTTTCTTTCCTGACATTGTACTTAAGCTCATTTGGTCCTTTGTTCCCAAGTTATATGTCCACGTTTCTTTTTCTTTTTTCGATGTGATAACGGTTTTCACTTTTGTATGAAAAGAATTATACCATGTATCTTACCTCACGAGAAATTACACATCAATCTGCCTTTTTTATCCTAAAAAAAAAACTATTCCTTTTCATCAACTCTTAATAAAAATGAAATTCAATTTGTCGCCTCCACGTGTTCTTATAGAGTTGTTACATATTTAAATTCTGATCTTATAAATGTGCCAACTGAATTGTAACTAAAATGGAGTAATCAAATAAGCTAAAAAAGGAGTTCAGTATGCTGATGTAATTACCAAAAGTTTTTACCAAATAATGAGAGAAACAAAAGTTAATGTTGAACTTTCTACTTACCTATTTGTGTGAACTTGACCACGAAGTTGAAGAAACTTTCAGTTTGGGCTTCTCATTATCTTTTTTGCCTGCATTCTAATTCATCCATGTAAGACAACTATTTGCTCTTGTTATTGTTTTTCTTCTCCTTCTTGTTGTTCTTTTTTTTTTGTGGTTATCTTTTGTCAGTTTTTCTCTTCCAATTGTTTTTAAAATTGTCATTCATTCAACATATTGTGGTGTTAATATGCAGATACATTAGTTCAGTCATACCAATTGGTGCAATGTTTGCAATGACACTTTGGCTTGGAAACACTGCCTACCTCTATATTTCTGTTTCGTTTGCTCAGATGTTGAAAGCAATCAGTAAGTAGTACTTTTTGAGCTGTCTTACAAATTGTAGACTGTAGAAGGTAAAAGTAAATACAGCTTTAGGATAGAAATATATTCACAGGGGAACTGTCATGCAGCACTTCATGCTTGATAGACAGCTTTAGAGGCTCGGCTGGTGACCACCTGCTCAAGTACTTTTTTAATTTGTGCCAAGGGCATCATCTCTCTCTCTTTTGGTTTCTTCTGCAGTGCCAGTAGCAGTTTTCATTCTGGGTGTTGCAGCCGGACTCGAAATGATGAGCTGCAGAATGCTTCTCATAATGTCAATAATCAGTTTGGGTGTACTTGTGGCTTCTTATGGGGAAATAGATATTAACTGGGTAGGTGTTGTCTATCAAATGGGAGGTGTTGTTGGAGAAGCTTTGAGGCTTATATTTATGGAGATTCTGGTGAAACGAAAAGGCCTGAAGCTCAATCCCATATCTGTGATGTACTATGTTAGCCCATGCAGGTATGTATTTTTATAGTCTAAAAGCTTGACGTGTTGATAATTTTATTTTGTCTGTTTCAACACTATAAATTCTCTATTTGATTGGAATCTTCTTGACAAATGCAGTGCTCTTTGTCTTTTAATTCCATGGATCTTTTTGGAGAAACCTAAGATGGATGAACAGAGGACATGGAACTTTCAACCTCTTATTCTAACCCTAAATTCTCTGTGTACCTTTGCCTTGAATCTGTCAGTTTTTCTGGTGATTCAACATACAAGTGCCCTGACAATTCGTGTTGCTGGAGTTGTCAAAGATTGGGTGGTTGTGCTGTTATCTGCACTACTTTTTGCTGATACGAAATTGACACTGATTAACCTTTTTGGTTATGCTATTGGTAGCTTTTCTAACCTCCTTCTCGAAATTCTTCTCCTAACCCTCTTGTGTCGCTGCAGAGATATTACTCTTTTTTTTTTTTTACCACCGAGACATTATTTTAACTATTTGAAGTGCATTACAGTCATGTTCAATGTTCTCCTGTGCTGAGTTCCACTATTCTCATGCAGTCAAATTTATAGGATCAATCTATAAAAAGATTAGATCAGTGAATGCATTTTTGTTTAGGTTCCCGGGATTATCTGCCTTTTTATTGTGATGAGAAATAGTGTGTCAAAGGTGGTCCCCAGACGATGGATCAATCCCTTATATTGAAAAGCCTGCTTTAAATCTTCATCTCTTCTTGCTTTGGTTCAATTTAACTTCTGGCAGCTGCATAATCCTTCTGATGTATATCTGTGGGTTTATGCAAGCTTAAGAGCTTTTGAGAATGGACTCTACCAACTACCATAACTGCAAATATCAACGCTGCTGCTAGTCCATAGAGAATATCTAAGATTTCTTTTGATCTTGTGCAATTGTTTTTTTTTTCTTTTCAGAATTTGTATTAGATTGGACTGACATAATCATCACTTCTAGTTAGTGATTCTTTGAAGACAGATGCCAACTAAGGGTTATGGATCTTAGTTGTACATCATTTTGTAACTTGGAGGGTGATAAGTGTAATGCTGAACTAAACTTCATGTTGATTGGGACGGTTTTTTTGATTATTTCTCATGCTAGTGAGCCTAAACATAAGTTTCTGCCTATTGTGTTTATATGTGTGGTAAGAAGTATGAAGATTCATGGTACTACTTCATGAGCTCTTAATAACATATGAAGTTGTGGTGCTCTGTGCAGCTATTGCAGGTGTAGCAGCATATAACAATCACAAGCTAAAAAAGGGTACTTCCCAAGCAAGTTCAGACGAGTCTGAACCCACTGTACCTTTAATACAATCTTCAAATTCCAACAAGTAGATGTATGTGAAGAACAACCTCTCAATTTATCCTGAGGTCCTGTATGTAAATGATGGGAATTGTTCAAGTTCTTGTATGCTCTTATTTGGGGATGGGATTCCACACCCTGGCTCAAGATTTTGCTTATGAGAAGCCATAGTGAAACACAGTGATATTTGACTCGAAAGCTTGCTTGTAGATGCAACCTTTTCTGATTGCTGCTGCTTTTGAATTTGGAGGATTTTTGTGATACATGTGATGATAGAAACAAAAAAAGTTATACTTGTATGATGTAGAGAGTTCGGACCTTGTTCTGGACGAAAATAGGCTGGACTGACATCAAAACATGCTGACAGTTAACATACTACAATGTATTGCGAGACATTTTGAATTTCAGCAGTTTTTGGCTGAAATTCTTTTATATACAAGGCTGTTGTGCAATTGAGTTCTATTCTTCTTCTGTATTATGTTGTGCTCTGTAAATCAGAGTATGCGACAATGTTTTCAATGCCTAAGTAGGATATTTCAGAATGATATAACTTATATATAGAAATTGTGAGTTCATGTTGGTAAAATGAGATTTGCAGGATTGCATTGCTCGGCTACTGCCTACTGATAAGTGGAAGATCCCATGGGCCTGGCTGTATCCACCAGTAGTTTGATGGAACTTCTCGACACATAGGACTCTGAAGGGTTGACAGGTGATGAATAATTGAAAATATGTAGCTCAGATTGTGCATTAACATGGGATTTGCTTGATATTTTCTATTGAATTTATGTTGATATCAAATCATTCACTCTTCTGACAGATCTCTTCCGTCGAAATTTTGTTTCAAATTTCCTTCACTAATTTTTCTGTATTTTCTTTTCTCATAAGTTGTTGGTTTGTCTGATTTCCAGATCATCTTGTACTAGATCTAGTTGTTTCTTATGCAGATACTTTTAACTTCAATTAATTTTTGTTTGGTACTCATATGTGAGCGGTGCAATAGGTAGATCTTAGTCACTGATGTAAACTCATTAAGGTGAAATCATTTGTCCATGAAAGATAAGATATAATGTTTATACTGATCTGATACTCATGTGGACAAATAAATCTTATAGCTTTCTTAATCAAAGATCTTAATTATGGTTATAGAAAAATCTTCTTGTAAGCGCTGCAGTGTGTGAATTTAGATTAGTTGAGTTTCAATACGAGTTAAAAAAATTTCTGACAGCTTATTGATTTAAGTGGTGCTCACTTCTTCTTTGTATAGGACAAGGGCCAATTAAAGGTCGAGATAGTACACTTGACACGAGATCAATCATCAAATGAGATTATTTTTAGTGTTGACCTTGACTTTGGTTCAAAGTGCCACTCCTGGCATAGAAAAACTTTTTGTTAAGTAACAAAGAGGATAAGGCTTGGTTTGCCTAGTTGTCTCCTCCCGAATATATTCGTCATATATTTGGAATTTCTTTATTTTCTCTTCTTTTTTAAAAGAGCATATAACAAAGTATTACCCATGGTTAGTGGTGGATCAAAATTTTGAGAAAATATTTTTTTGGAACAAGTTCAATGAATATACTTGAAATGCCATTTAACTTGGAAATAAGTAAATTTTTTTTATGTTCAAACGCTCCCAAGTTTGGTGAACAAATATGAAAAATGGCCATATATAATGGGGTTATTTGCATGAATCTCCTTATTTTAGGGTAGTGTTTAATTTTTGTCCCTTAAATATGTGGACATTGATTTTTTTCATTCAACACTTTAAATAACAAAAAAATGATTAAAATAACCCTAACATCAAAGAAGAGAAAATCTCTCAACATTAATATAATACAAACTATGTCTTACAAGGCATAATAAGTTATGACCTGACTTATGCCGTTAGAGATATAAGTTCAGTTTAGAACCCACAAGTTATGAGTTATGCCGTAAGAGAGACAACTTAATTTCTACAAAATTTATGTCAAATAAGATAAAAATTCGCTAAACTTATTCCAAACGAATTATATATTATATATACAATTTATATGAAATTAAGTAAAAAATCTCTAAACTTAGGCTGAACAAAATTAAATCATTCATATAAATACTTTAGCCATTAAATTTCAATTAAACGAAAAACATGAGTGAAAAATAAAAAATCACAAATTTAAAGACCATCCAAAATATCAACAACTCAAGTATAATGAAAAATGGGTAGAAAGGACAAAAGACGGATGCCAGATGGGATACGCCTCATGGGGGTGGGCAGGGGAACTTGTTCGCTTCCACACTCTCCAACTCTTCTCCTCTTTTTATTTTTTTATTTTTTTCCTTTTGGCGCAAACATAATCACACACAGCGAGCACCACACTATCATATCATTTTTACCCCAAATTTAATACTAAAACACATTTGCCATTTTTCAAACCACAATTAAACCTCCGTTCTTCTCCAAATCTCCCTCCTCCCTGAGCCCGAATTTACAAAACCTAAGAGAAAGAGATATAGAGAAGGAGGAACTCAAGTGGGAGAGGCGATGCGATCGTGGTGGCTGCAGCTTCGGGGCAGCCCATACTCGGCGGTTCTGACGGTGGTGGAGGAGGAAGACGAATCAGGTCGTTAATGGCCTATTTGCAAATGAATTGGCAGCCCAACCTGCTTAGCCACAAACGCAAGACTGGTCCTCCTTTAGGGCTTAAAAACCTCGGCAATACCTGTTATATCAACTCCGTTCTTCAGTGCCTTACTTATACCCCTCCTCTTGCTTATTTCTGCCTCAAATCTCAACATTCCGCTTCTTGTAATTCCTCCACTTTTTATTATAATTTTACTCATGTTACTTATGTAATCCTTTTTTTACTTCGTACATGGGCTAACCCCCCTCCCCCCCTTTTTTTTTAATACTGAAATCCTTCGATGCCCAATTGGAGATGAATGATTATTGGGGATACATATAGCTGACTCTAGTTAATTTGGTATTGAGGCATGATAGTTGTTATGGCTATTGCTGATTGGTGTATTGAACCTAATAGTTTAGGATTGAGGTGTTAGTTGTTATGCACTTATTGTTAATTCACATAGTATAGGCCTGACTAGTTTGGGACTGAGGTATTTGTTGTGGTTATTGAGGATTCATATATCTGTCTCAAGTCACTCAACTAGTTTTGAATTGAAGTATGGTATTTGCAGTGTTTTTATAGTATATGTCAGCTAATTATTTTTGATAGTTGAGGTGTAGTTAGTAGATTATTTGATTGATGCCCTGGTGTTTTAGCTTTTTTTTGAATCCCATTCTATTGCGCAGGTGATTCTGAAGCTGCAGCTGCTTCAGGGAAGAAAAGTGAATGTCCTTTTTGTATATTAGAGAAGAGAATAGCTAGGTCTTTGAGTCTTGAATCAGCACTAGATACTCCGGCCAAGATTAATAGTTGCTTAAAGATTTTTGCCCAGCATTTTAGGTTTGGGAGGCAGGAGGATGCTCATGAATTCTTGCGATATGTCATTGACGCCTGTCACAATACGTGTTTGCGGTTGAAGAAGTTGCAGCAGCAGACAAAGAAGGGTGGTGGAGGTGGTGTTGATGGGAATGGGAATACCATTGTTAAGGAGATCTTTGGGGGTGCTCTGCAGAGCCAGGTCAAGTGTTTGTCATGTGGTGCTGAGTCAAATAAGGTGGATGAGATTATGGATATAAGTCTTGATGTGTTGCACAGTAGCTCACTCAAAGATGCTTTGCAGAGATTTTTTCAGCCTGAGGTTTTGGATGGAAACAACAAGTACAAGTGTGAGAAGTAAGTATTATCCTCTTTCCTTTTCCTTTAATTCATATTGTATGATAATCTGCTGTTTTAAGTTTGTGTTTTCACACCTGTTGGAGTAAGGACTTATACTTGTTTAGCTGTAAGAAATTGGTGACAGCAAGGAAGCAAATGTCAATTCTTCAAGCACCAAATGTTCTTGTCATTCAGCTCAAGGTACAAACCAGTTGGAATATTCTGGCTTTTCTGTTTTACTGTCAACTGCCAATGGTAACTTATTTTTGATTGTGAATAGAGGTTTGAAGGAATATATGGTGGGAAGATTGATAAGCCCATTGCATTTGAGGAGGTTCTAGTGCTTTCAAGCTACATGTGCAAAGCGAGCCAGGTGTGTGCAGTAGTGATTAAGTTCAATATATGCTGTTTTGCTCCCCACCACTGGATTTATTCTTTCCCAATTAAATTCAGACAATCTTCTAATGAAGCTATTTTACAGTGGTTCCAACTATAAAATTTGTAGTTTTTTCACCATACTATTTGGAGAAAATCATGATGTGGTATTGACCCTATTTGTTCAGCACTAGTGCACTTCATCAGAGCCTGCCATGGTAGCTGGTTTTCAAAGGATTAACCTTTTATTTGACAATGAGTTTTGCATCTTTGATTTTTTACCATTCAACTTGATTAATGTTTCACATGTAACTGAAAAGTTATTGTCATCACCGGATAGGCTGACCTGTAGGCACCAATGCATGATGGTTTCTCAAATTCAAACGGTAGATATTATTTCTATGGGTTTCTATCTGTCGTCTGTAATGTTTCCTCTTCATTTTGGCAATTCATCTTTTTCATCCAAGGAGACCTATAGAAGTTTTATATAACGCAGTTATTAAAAAAAGTTTTAAAGGGAATCGAAGGCTTATCTGGGTAACTAGGGGTTGTTTGGTGGCCAAGATGAACAACATTAAAGTATTACTATCCTTTTCTTTTCCTGATTGTAATTGAAGAGATGGTCTTACTATTCTTTTTCCTTGGGTTTGGTAAGTTGAAGTAATACTGGATATCCACTCCAGTAAATATTTCATCATGTTTTATCCAAAGAACTTCATTTTTAATTGCAAAGGCTAGTGTAGAGTTCTAAAGCCTTTGTGATGCGGGGTAGTGAACAGAGAAAATATCAAGGGAGGGTACTCAAAAGGGCAGACATGCCAGCACCAACAATTACACTGGGGTTTTGGAAGGGTAAGGGATAATGATCCTAGGTTATGTGAGGGGGAAGCTGCAATGCTAATAGTTTGAATAAGGGGATCACAAATGGGAGAATGAAGATGCTAGAATGGATGTGAGCTATCTGTGGGAGGATGGGAGGGTCCAATCTTGCTGCATACTGGTGTAACTGGGAGAGGGGAAGAAGGTGGAAGGAAGGGAAAAAGAACTGGGTTTTGATCTGTCCCATCTAATTGTTGATTTCTTTTTTTTTTTGATAGAGAATATTGCTAACCATCTTATTGTTGATCAAAATACATTTTTGACTAATTCCTTGTCTTACTAAAGCCTGAAATGTTGTCACCAACTCTTGGATGGATCAATGTAGGGAGGCCCGCTCTGTAATAATACATAGAGAACGAGGGAATGCATGCAATTAATTCACTTGCATTTGGAATCTACACATGTAGTTATGGGTTCCAATTGAAATTTCATGTAGTAATTTCCCTGCATATCTGTTGTATTCTCTTTTTCAAACTGCTTTGTTATGTGTTACTTGAGTCGAGGACTGAGGGTCTTTCGAAAATAGCCTCTCTATCTCCACGAGGTAGGGGTAAGGTTTACGTACACGTTACTCTTCGCCGACCTCACTTGCGGGAATACACTGGGTATGTTGTTATAATTTCCGTGCATTGCTTGGTCATACTCTCCATACCTTGTCAGTAAAATCTGCATAGAAGAAAGGACCGAACCCTGCACTGTTGATATAAAATAGTAATTATCCTAGTGGTATTTTTAAAAGGGCTTGGAATATGGTTCCGCCTGTGTTAATGTGGGTAGTTGGAGAGAGAAAGAGAGAAATATGAGAGCTTTTGAAGGAGTAGAGTCGAGTTTCTCTCATTTGAAGAGTATTCTTTGATCCCTTATTTTCTTTTGGTGTAAACAAAAAGTTCCCTGGTGTATAGATGATTGAGTGGAGTTTGTAAAGTATCATATTCTGTAGATCCTTTATTTTTTGGTATACCTCTTGTATACGGCCAGTTTCGCGTGTTTATGAATGAAAATACACTTGATAAAAAAAAGATTACACTAGTATTTTGCTTTACATTAAAAATAAGATAGTAATTCTACTAGTGAACTCCCTTCTTCCTCACTAACTTATGCATGTTCTCCGATCTTTGATTTGCGAAATTTGTGGTCTCATATGTACACAACTTAAGGTTCAGGCAATCTCATCATATTAACAGTGATGGAATATGATTTTTTATTGGAGAAGGTAAACTGGCTGAGGCTGTGCTTCTGAGAGAGTTCATTTTGTATATGTTTTTTTTTTTGGAGACGCTGTTTTTGGCATTCTTGATACATGGTACAATGGATTTAAGATTTATAATGGGTTGCATCAATTCGGGCATAATAGTATAAGGTGCATGTAGATGTATTTGAACCGTCTTCTTTCAGAATTGTACTAGTAATTCCTGCTGACTGAACATCAGTGTGCCTGTTCACATATATAAATTTAATGATGTGGAGTTGTAGTGTAGGGTTCATCCTAGCTGATTGAACAATAAACTTCTAGTAAATAATTTGGGAAATAAGCTACATCTGTCTCATAGTCAAGTTACTTCATGTTCTTTAATTTGCAGGATCTGCATCCAGAGTACAATCTTTTTGGAACTATTGTCCACTCAGGCTTTTCACCAGATTCAGGGCACTATTATGCATATATTAAGGTGACAGCTTCATTTTGTATTAATTGCCCCTCACATTTTTTTCCTGAGAAGTATTAGAAAGCTATTAAAAATATATAAGTCAAATCATTTCCCTTGTAATTTCACAAGCAAAAGTTGCCTTATAATTTCAATTGCAAAAGTTGCCATGTTGTCAACAGCATTACTGGGGAAGAACTGTCTGTCTAGCCAAACCTTCAAGAGTCTCAACTTTTTCTTCATTCTTTATTCCTTACTTGGTATTGTAAAAGATGATAGTAGTTAGATGATACAGGCAATCATAGTTTTATGTTACCCAATTGTTAGTGTTTTGATTTTGGTTGGCTGTTTAACAGGATGCTGTGGGTCGTTGGTACTGCTGTAATGATTCTCACGTTTCTCCTAAAATCTTGCAAGAAGTGTTGTCGGAGAAGGTGTACATCCTTTTCTTCTCTCGTACCAAACAGAGGTCACCACCCACCAAGACATGTTTATCAATTAATGGGTCAAAATCCAATCACTCCAATGGCTTGGCTAAATCCAAAATCATGACCAGTGACTTAGCAAAAGCAGAAAACGAAAAGCAAGTTTTAGGCCACCCCTCCGAGAAAGAAAATGTAATGACGTCTAAGGTCAGTAAAGTGCATTCGAGCCCAGTGAGAGAGTTGGGCATATTTGAAAGATCTTCCTTCAAGAGACCTACCTCTGGTAATATCAAAATGGTTTTTCATTCAAAAGAGTCTGGCAATAGAACTGGTGATGTGAGAGCATCAGTTCTTACAGAGAAAGAGATTACATCATTACCAGACAGGAATGGTGTTAGCAAAAGTTGTGGTAATGGCCAAGTGACAAGATCACATGCCTTAACAAATGGAAATGGAAATGGAAAACTTCCAATTGTAGCAACCAGCCCTGTAGCAGACGGTCCCCTTAAAGATTATAGTGGAAGTAATGGAAAGGCTGCAGGAAAGGATTCATACCACAAAGAGGTGACTAGATCATCATCTTTAGCAAATGGAAATGGCAAAATCCAAAGTGTTGCAACGGATACCTCGAGGGGAAGTCTGCATAGAAATAATGGGGAGAATAGTGAAAGCCTGGCAGCAATAACTTCTGCATACAGGGATACATCCAATGGCCATGTTGAATCGTCTTCTATCTCAGGTTCAAAGAGAAAATTATCAGATCAATGCATCCTGCTCGAGTATGATGCTCAGTCTCGTGCAAAGGTGGAAGAATTGAAAAAAGAGTATGCTACTCTATCTTTGATTACCTGTATTCCTTTGCCTTAGTATTATTATAACACAATGACAGAAGTTTTGAATTCATTATACTTGTCCTTGCATCTGCTAAAACTTGAGATTATGTGGTTTGAAAATGCTAGGGGTTTCTTTTAGGTGTTTTGTTCTGCTTAGTAGCTTTAGCTGAATTTTGATGTTGCCTTTTGTTGGGGTTTTCCTGATAGCATAGGATGCCAATGCATTTTGCTTTGTATTGTCGTCTCTCTTAATTAGGCCATATATTATATATCCTTAAGAATTAATAAACTGGAACTGCTCATCTCTATGATGTTGGTTAATCTTATGTTGGCCTCACTAACAATGTACTGGGAAGAGTTCTGGGAAAGGAGGTTGACTAGGACTTTGACCCTAGCTGTTGAGTTCAGATTCTTACTGTTCTCAAGCTATACAATTGGGAAGCTCCCTTTTGGTGTCTTCTCCTCTACTGGTTAGAGATCGTGAAGTACTTTCTGCTTCCTGTGTCCTGCTAAATAAACTTTTTTTTTAAAAAAACTAGCAACTAGCTAAATCAACATTTAACAACTTTATCTTATATCCGCAACGTGATTATTTAACCCTATCTTTCTAATGAGTTTCAGGCTCCATCAGGAAGCTTCATCATTTCTAAGAACATGTGGTTGGTCAGAAGAAGTCTATGCTTTTATGCGTTCCAAGAAGTCGGGGGCACAATCAACCTTTCAAGCATCAGATGTTAATGCGATGAAGTACGTTCCTCTAGCTTTGCAGTTTGAAATAGTTTAATTAAGAGTACTTATTTGTCCTTGAGGTCGGAAGTTGCTTCTCTCTTCTTTGTTTGCTTTAGTACAAATTTCGATAAATTAGATACTTTGGAAAACTCAAATATGTCTGGGGTACTATTACCTTGTTTCTTATCATTGCTTGTTCCGAACTTGTGTGACCTGCTATCTTTTTGTCTTTTTCATTAGATGTTGCAGTATTTTACTACCATCATAAAAGTAAAGTAACATTTCCGTGTACATGTTTAGGTATTGGAGCGTAGTTGCATATATTTTCTACTATCTTTGTATTCCGACCAAACTGAAAGGCAATAGCACATCCGAACTTTCTTCTTCATCTTTGTGTTAGTTAAACTACGTTGCTCAAGCTGGACGTGGACAGTCTTGCATAGGGTGATATTGGGAAAGATTAAGAGGTTCCTTTGACGTGAATTTGTATGTTAAACATGATAAAGTTAACTGCCAAAGGGTATGTTTAAGTTCCAAGATAATTGCTTTTTTACTTCTTCCCAATGAGAAATTTCTCAGTGAAACTAGCTCCCGTATTTTTTTTTTGAAATCAGTAACTTTGTATCATTTCAAGGATCAAAACAGTACTTGGGTAGTACTGAAACCATATTTACAATAGAGCTCTAGTGTCTTTCCTTTCTAGCTATAGAGAATCTAGAACATCTATGATAGACACAGTATCATTAAAAAAAAGAATATTTGGATCTAATGATGAGGAATACGAGTGACCAACTTCCAAAAAGAATATTTGGATCTAATGCCATTGGGGTTTCATTTTTTTGGGTGGGGGAAATATCGAAGCTGGTTAAGCTGGGTTTTTTTTAAGATTTTAATGTATACGTCGAGTTAATTCTATTTGGGTTTGGAATAGTACAAATTTCATTTCTGTCATTGGTTAAGTTTGATATTTACTCGATGAAGGTGGTGTTGTCCCTTCTCATTTTGATGCAATTATCAAGGAAAAATTGAACTACTATTCTACTAAAATGTAAGTGGTCCAAAATGAGTGTGTGTGGGTGGGGGTGACACAATTGTTTGGTCACCAATATTAAAGCTGGTTAAGCTGGGTTTTTAAGATTTTAATATATATGTCGAGTTGATTCTATTTGGGTTTGGAATAGTACAAATTTCATTTCTGTCATTGGTTAAGTTTGATATTTACTTGATGGTGGTGTAGTGTCGTCCCTTTTTGTTTTGGTGCAATTATCAAGAAAAAATTGAACTATTATTCTACTAAAATGTAAATGGTCCAAAATGAGCATAACGTTGATTGTCCAGAAAATTTTAACATCTTTAACATTGAAGTAGGTCCTGAAATATCTCTCTATAATAGAATTATGGGGAAATCATGGAGAAGCATGCAGAAAAAGTATCTTGCAAACTGCACAAGAGGTTTTTAATTTGAGAAAGTGGATTTAGTTTAGAGATTGTGGTAACTGAAGGTGTTAAAAGGGGACGAGGTAGACCTAAATCACTTGGATGACAGTTTTCTTGAAAGATTTGATCTGTTGAATCCACACAGACCTAGTGAAAGTAGGACAGACTGGAAGAAAAAGATCTGAATATCAGTTGAGACCGTATTTTTGCTACAGTAGTATATTTACTTTAGGTCTTACGTCTTCTAGGAGTCTTTTTTTTTTTTTTGAAACTGGTAACCTTTTGTATCCCTCAGGCATTAAGGGCTATGCTGGCCACCTCCAAAAGCTGTTACAAGAAAGGAAAAAACTAAAAGGAATACTTGCAGAGAATCTATGAGGTCCACAAATTGGATACTCTTCTATATCCTGTTCTTTACACCAAAAGCCTAGAGTAGTAATTACTTTCCATTTGATCTTCTGTATTGTACACTCCTTTCCTTCAAAAATTCTCTGCTTCCTTTCTTTCCATATAATCCATCAGATACATGTTGGAACTGTTCTCCACCATCTTTTCTGACTCTTGTTTTCTAGGAGTCTTTTGGTCTTAGCTGAGATTAATATGCCAACAATTATTATTATTGTTTTTACTATTTTTGTTGTTATTGTACAATATGGGGTCAAAGATTGAGCTTAAATAGAGCAGTATTGCCAGTGAGGATTCGTATGGTCGATCCCAACTTGCTCGGGATTGAGGCGTAGTGGTTGTTGGACTTAGCTTAGGGACAATCTATAATAAAAAGAAGGAAAGATAAAATTTCCCTCATCTTTTTCTGTGAAAAAGGGAAAAGACACCTGTTTTCCTCCCTCCATTTGCCTACTTGAGTATTATTTAATCAGCCAAGCATCGCTGCACATTCAAATTGGCCCAGTAGTGCTTCATGGTCTACCCAACAGTGCTGCATATCTAAACCACTCTGTCTAAGATTGGTAAACGTAACAATAACAAAGCAGACATCGTTTTTGGTTCTTTTTACTCTGTGGCTAAAAGTTCTCCAGCGATACATAATTTAACTTGGGACGAGAAAGTACTGTTCGATAACAATATGTTGAGTGGATTGACTACAGAGGATTCATATAGTTTCAACTCGAATTAATAGCACTGAGCCATACTTAATTGAGTTTTATTGATTGTGAATGGAAATTTGGTTTTATCAAAAGTGATTGACAAGTGTTTCCTTCCTTATTTAGATAAGGTAAGTGACCTGCAAGCTCTTTTTTTTCTGTTATTTATTCTTGCTTTTAGTGTGTTGTGTGAAGATTATATGTTTTTGCCTCTTCGAATCCAGATCAAATTGTCAAATTCTCTGAATCCTTTGACTGCATCCACCACTCACAACATGTGCTGTTTGTTGTTACCTTGGTTCATATTCTATATGTCCTCGCCACTACACAATTCTATCTTCCTACTTTTGTCCTGTTCCTTTTTTCTTTTTCCCAATTTGCAGTATGTGAACTGAGAGAGAAGTGTGTCCCTAATTAGTTGTGCCCGGTGCTGTTTGCTTGCCATGCATAATTACAGAAGTAGGAAGAGTCAGCTCCAATAATGGACCAAAAAACCTATCAAAGGACTAGTGAGCTGACTAAATCCAAGAAAATATCAGGGCTAAAAGCAGGTGTAAGATTAACCCAACAAAAGAGTAGAACTAAGCATCTGGCCTTGAGCTTGGAGTTGGCAGTTGACTCCTCTCTGTCCATAAGCACCACAAAATAGTAGCTGGAACCATAGACCAGATTTTTTTGATGGATTTCTCACTAACTTTAGTTCCAGTTAACAAAAATGAAAAATCTCTCTGATACTAAAGGGCATAAGCCCACTGTAAGCCAAGGAAGGATAGGTACATAGATGATAGACCAGATGTCTGAAGCAACACGGCAATGTAAGAATATATGATTGACAGATTCTCGATTGTTAATGCACATGTAATATCTGTTAGATGGGTGAAATTTCCTTCTTTTAAGATTAGCTTGAGTCAGAACTCAGAAGGCATTCCGTAAGGCTAACCAACCGAAGTCACTGATCTTGGGAGGCATTTTCTCCTGTCATACAAGCTTCCAAGGCCACTGATCAATTAGAGCTTTATTGGAGCTCATGAGTTGATAGTTGGCTTTGACCGAGTATAACCATCTAAGTTGTTGCCCCATCTGAACATGTCCTCCTGAGGATTGATGGCAATATGCTGTAAAATGCCAAGGAGGCCTGATAATTCTTCAAACTCCCAGTCATACAGATTTCTTCTCAAGCTTGGATACCGAGTATTTCCCTCTCAATTCTCGAAAACAGTAGTCACGATTGGAAGCAATGGAGAAAATCGTAGGGTAAGCTTAAGCTTCCTTCAGAGTCAATTGGCCTAATCATAGATCTTTCCAGAAAAGAATATGATTCCCATCACCCACCTGCAAAGGTGAGTTCATTGAGAATTCAGGCTACAGGTTCCTAATTCCTTTCCAAAGTCCACAACCATGAGGGAGCCTGCTGGTGTTGGAGACCCGATGACTATCACTGTCATATTTGGCTTGAATCACCTCCTTCCAAAGGCTCATTCCTTGTTGATTGTATCTCTGATGCCATTTCAGGAGAATGCTTTTGCTGTGCAGGGCCAGGTCTTTCACCCCTAACCCCCCAAGAGATTTGGGAAGATTACTCTTGTCCCATTTCACCAAGTGGATTTTATGGTCCTTGTTGTTGCCCCCCATAGGAAAGAACACCTAAGTGCTTTTTCTTACACCTATTTAGCTAATGGGGCATTGGTCACAGCCGAAATTCTGTCAAGCTGCAGAAGAACTTCTGATGGGATGAGGATTAGGGACATAAAGTAAGTAGGGATGCTGCCACCAAAAGAAAGTTATTGTTGTAGCCAGGAAGCTAATCTCTTTTCCAGTTTCTGCACAATCTTAGATAGGTGGTTGGAAAATAATCTGTATTGCAACACATAATTTCACTCAGCTAAACCAATTCAGGAACCAAATTAACAGGATACATGACACTTTAAATATGTGATGTGAAGATTATCCAAGTAATGTTAGTTCAAGTGTTGGACCTCGGACCTCTCAGGACAACAGAAGATGTGAGAGTGTCATCAGCAAACAACCAATGAGAAACAGAGGCTGAGGTATTAGTCCCATTGCCAATACCAAAACCCTCCAGCCAGTTGAGTTGTTAAGCCTTGTCTATCATCCTGCTAAGACCCTCCATGGCTAGTATGAAACAAAAGGGGGACGTGGGGTCCCCTTGCTGTATTCCTCTCTTGGGAGAGAAAAATCCAACTGGACTCCTGGTAACCAACACAGAATATTTAACTGTAGAGAATGATAATTTAATCCATTTGTCTCCAAATCTCATCTGCCTCAAGATAGATAATAAGTACTTCCTGTTTAATTTGTCAAAGGCCTTTTCTATGTCCAGTTCAAATAGTAGCCCAGAAACACCACTCTTAAGTCTCCAGTCAAGGTTGGGCAGCAATGAGAGCAGTGTGACAATGCTTACACATACCTATATACTCTCTTATCTTCTTTTTATCTTACAAGTTACAACTGAGAATGTTTGTGCTAAATATTGTTTGTCTTGCAGGGAGTTGTTGATTGCAGATGCCAAATCAATGTTTATCTCACAAATTCCTCAATCATTGAAGGGCAGTCTTATTGAACGTCTAACATCATTTAGTCAAGGAACACCACCCTCCAGTACCTAAGCACACTTGGACATGGTATGTGCAGAAGCAGAGTGGTCTTTTCAGGTTTTAAGGTGCACAAATCATGTGAATTACCCTTGAAAATTTTGCAGTCCATTGACGAAGGTGCTGATTTTCTTGGCCTGTATTCTTTGTCACTTGGAGATGGGATGTCTGTTTGCGCAGACGAGTAAAAGTTGTCCTTGATTTTCTCCACTCAGCTGTACTGTATCACCAAATGTGTTCAATCAGGTAAAAGAGGAAATCAAAGTGGCAACATCTTATTCTGGTAGACATTTTGTTGAGAGTCAGGAGAGCCTATAGAAGAAGCGTAAATTCCTTTTGTGATGTATGATATATGTCCTTTTTGGCTGTAGTTTAGCATGTAATCCTCATTTTATGGATGCTTACCAATTTTTTTCCATAAAATTGTGGTCGGGGTTGTATTGTTGAATCTAGAGTTGAGGTTTTACTTTTGAACATACATACATACATTATAGTACCATCCATCATCAGATAATTGTTGAAGGAATTCCATATTCATAGATTTGTATCTCAGATTTCTATAAGATACTGCTTTGATATGTGTCTCGTCTCTATTACGAAAATTATCGGTATGCGAATTTTCGATAGTAATAAATCACGAAGAAAGTGAGAACAGTCACTTCCATTGTTTAACTCATGAGTTTGTTAACTGTTTACAATTTTCTAGAGTACTCTGTGATGTCATTGACTACACAAGACAGTCGTATGAGGGAATGAAAAGTCATACAGATCTAGAAGTCCCTAGTAAATGCTGTCGTGCTGGAAAATTCTACAATATTTTTCTTTTGTTTTTCATCTGGTGTTCGGCATCAATATTGTTGGGGCTGACTCGATTAATCTGAAGGAAAGCACTACCTAGAAAATTCTACAATATGATAGAGCTTCCCCAACAATCTTAAGACCTCTATATATATGACATATTTGTCTCATCAATTTCAGTATCATCAACTACTCTAAAATAAACACACTCAAAAAATGGGAGATGATGTAGTATTGCTTGACTTCTGGGATGAGGGTGAGAATTGCCCTGAAAGAAAAGGGCATAGACTATGAATCTAAGGAAGAAAATTTGAGCAACAAGAGCTCATTGCTCCTCAAAATGAACCCTGTCTATAAGCAAATCCCAGTTTTGATTCACAATGGAAAGCCTGTTTGTGAATCCCTCATCATTGTTCAGTACATTGATGAAGTTTGGAAGGACAAAACTCCTCTCTTACCTTCTGACCCTTATGAAAGATCCCATGCTAGATTTTGGGCTGACTATGTTGACAAAAAGGTAACATATCGTATCATTTTCGCTGTATCGTTTCAATTTTATTAGATCTCCATAAAGATACACATTTCATTTTTATTTTTAATCTGACAAAATCCTAACTTAAATGAAAATACTTTATAGCATGACGATACATTTATACAAAACTTCTATGCCTAATACACACAATGAAATCGTTGACAGTCAAGTACTGAAATTCAATAACAAAATAATTTGATCTATGAGCAACTTCTATGAGGGGGACTCATGAATTTGAAGTATATGAGTTATTGTTGTGATCTAAAGTTAATATACAATAAAAACTGTTCTTAGTTATATATAGTTTGTGGGTTTCTTGATGCATATATATAGAATTTGAATAAAAGTTACTGAGTTCACGTAAATCTAATAATTGTGTAATAGATTCACTTCTGAATTGAGTCATGACATGTTTATTGATTTAACTAGTCCATCTTGATTCAAACCTGTCTATTTACCACCTTTAGAAGTGACATTCTTGTTATTGGAATGTGATATGCAGATATATAGTACAGGGAGATTGGCATGGGCAACAAAAGGTGAAGTTCAAGAGGCAGCAAAAAAAGAAGTAATAGATCACTTTAAACAATTGGAAACAGAGTTAGGTGACAAGACTTTCTTTGGAGGAGATCAATTTGGTTTAGTTGACATTGCTCTTATACCTTTTTATAGTTGGTTTTATGCATTAGAAACTTGTGGAAACTTTAGCATGATTCATGAATGTCCTAAACTTGTTGGATGGGCTAAAAGATGCATGGAAAGGGAAAGTGTTTCAACTTCTTTACCTGATCAGTACAAAGTTTATGACTTCATTTTGGAGTTGAAAAAGAAACTTGATCTTGATTAAAGTCAATAGGGGCGGAGTTACAATTCTGCTTACAGATTTGACAGAAGTCAGAATCTGTGATCTTGGCCCTAAGTTTGTATTTGTATTAAAAAGTGAATAATTTATTCATAATTCAATAAGTAGTATCTTTTCTAGAATTTTCTAGAATCTTACTGAAGTTAGCTCAAGTTTTTCTTAATTTTATGTAACAAGCTTCGAATTTTCAATCACATCAAATCATAAACATTAAGAAACAAAACAAGTGGTATGATATAAGTTGAGTAATTTTATTGATATAAAATGAGATAAATCACTGCTATATACTAATCATTCGAGAAATTAACCTTAATGCATCAATTTGAAATTATAAATTCATACATTGACTTTAAGTTTATCTTGTAATAACAAATAGTTTCACAACATTTTAAAAAAATATATATACGAAGTCGGAAAAGAAATATTATTGGATATTTGGATTCATGTCAATTCGTAACTAATCCTATAATCCACCCTTTTTTCTGGTTAAGGATGAAGGAATGAACAGAGCTAGAGAAAGCAAGAGGTTCATTTTTAAAAAAAAAACATATATATAAGTTAAAATTAATTTTTAGGCATGCATAGTGAATATTGAATTTCCTCGACTTATTTTTGTATTTAGTTTTCCTCATATTTTTAATCTTTTAAGTGAAACTTTTAATTTTGCTACTCGATGAAAGTGTACTAATCGTCCTACCATAACATTTTGTGTGGTTGGTCAAAAAGTGGGGGCTCCATTGCTTGACGAAAGCGATGACATATTTACTAAGGACCACACAATATTTGTACTCACAAAAATAAAAAATTGAAGGCATCCAAGTGCTATATATATGTACAAAACTAGCAAATAAATATTACACAAATAATCTTTTTTTTTATTTTTAAATAAAATAAAATATGGGTGATGAAGTTGTTCTTTTGGATACTTTTGTGAGTGTTTTTGGGATGAGGGTGAGGATTGCCCTAGCTGAAAAAGGGATCCAATATGAATACAAAGAGGAGGATTTGATGAACAAAAGTCATTTACTCTTACAAATGAATCCAATTCACAAGAAAATCCCAGTGTTGATCCATAATGGAAAACCAATTTGTGAGTCACTCATAATTGTTGAGTACATAGATGAAGTTTGGAAGGACAAATCACCACCTTTGATGCCTAGTGATCCTTACAAGAGAGCTCATGCTAGGTTTTGGGCTGATTATATTGGAAAAAAGGTATGTAGTAGCTATCACAAAGAAAAGCATTTTGGTCGAGGAATCTTAGAAACTCAGTTAATTGAGTACTTACTTAAACTTTTACTTTTTTGAGAAAGTTTGTTTAAATTTACTTCTTTGACTTTGATTGTATGGTTAAAATAACCTCTAGTTGTAGCTTTATTAAAGTTCGAGGTCAAAAGTGAAATCCAAAGTTAAATAAGTCGAATTAATAAATGTGCAAGGTCATAGTAGACAAAGGAATTATTCGAACGTAAGTTAGTCATCTCCAATTTTGAAATTATGGATTTGAGTCGAGAAAAAAAAAGAAGGTGAAAGCTCGGGAGGGGGTTAAAAAAAAGTGCAAGGTCATAATCCATCCAAAATTTGATTGGTCAAGATGGATAGATGAATTTGCGCTAAAAAAAAAGTCATAATCAACCCATTCAATTCAAAATCATTTTTTATTTGTTTATTTGCTCATTTGTAATTTGTTTAATTATCAAATTTAGCTACTAAAACCAAACAAATTTGTTTTTATATGATTTAATAAGTTTATTTATAAGTAATTTGGTTATATAGGCTGCCTATACTGTCCCAAGCTTTTAGATGTGCTGACTTTGGTCATACCTAATTTGACCCCCAATTAAAATACACATAACAAGAGTTTGAGTTTTATTTGTTTATAGCTCTGTGAGTTGTATCAATTAGCTTTGTATCTGTTCGTTTTGATATAGAGCGAATCGATACAGAGCTAACATATATAACGATACATCGTATGACAAGTTTTTTAAAAGTAAAATATTGATACATTTGATAATTAGTCAAACCATTACAATGATCAATAATTAGGGCTCAAATTACACACCTCTATATCTGAAATTTTCTAATTATATTTATGAGCTAAATTTGATTGAAAAAGATATATAATTTTTTATTTTGTGAGAATGTAGATTTATGATGGTGGAATGAAAATTTGGAGCTCAAAAGTGGAAGAGCACAAAACAGCCAATAAAGAATTCATAGAGTGTTTGAAGGTGTTGGAAGGTGAATTGGGAGACAAGCCATACTTTGAAGGGGAGAATTTTGGACTTGTGGATATGGCTTTTATTCCTTATTATAGTTGGTTTCCTGTTTATAAAAAACTTAGCAACTTAAATATTGAAGCAGAGTGTCCTAAGTTTGTGGCATGGGCCCAAAGGTGTATGCAAAAGGAGAGTGTCTCTAAGTCTCTTGTTGATCCTGACAAAGTATATGAGTTTATTGTCTTGTTTAGACAGAAGATTGGTGTTGCCTAAAAGACGGATCTAGAGCGGGTTCTGCGAGACATGTTATGTGTGTATGCATGAAATGAGATTACGCTCATTCTGAATTCAGTTAATTCACTATATCTATTGTATAATGAATAATGAAGTAATAATAATGGAGGTTTTGTTTTCCATACTAAATGATTTCTCCTTTATGGCTCTTTTTTTCTTCATTTATTAGAACATGACATTATTTTGAGTATATATATATATATGCTGGTAATAACATACATAAGTTAACATAGTTGCCCTGCTGAAGATATCCCAACATATAAAATAACTCAATGTCTTTTGACAAGAATTTATGTGTTTTAGCAATTGTATTCTATAAGATGGGAGTTTGAAGCGATGGTTAAGTTGTCTACGTGTAACGTGTGACCTACAAGTCATGAGTTTAAGTCGTAGAATTATTTCGTATGCAAATAATAACATGTGATTTATTCCAAAGCTAATATATGCACTTCTAGCATTCCTTTTGTTGTAAAGCATTCTCAAATATGCAGAAATTACATTTTTCACAATGTATTTTTCTCATTTCATTAATCCCCAATATTTTGAGAATTTTAACAAAAATAAAAGTTCAGAAAAGTAGTATTACTTGAGTTGAACAAGTAGAAAAATATTAGATAAAAATATTTACCTTTTTTCCTCTGGAGTTGAGCAAGTAAAAAAATACTTTAGTTGTAACTATCAGAATGTCCTTACTATCGGAAGCTCCCCTCTTTAGTTGCATAGTAATAAATATTACTAAGTGGTTTCATGAAGTGTGCTATCGTAAGCCAAAAAATGTATAAAATTATATAACAAAAAAGTTCGGAGTAATAACCTTAGTTTAGTTAACGTGTATCTCTATAATTTCGATCATACTGTTGGGCTACTTATGCCTTATCCCAATAAAAGAACCACTAAGTTCGGCCAAATAAAAAATTCAATCTAAAATCAAATCATTCCTAAAAAGTAATTGGTATTTAGATAAAGATATTATTTTTGCCACAAACACCCTTGTTAAATTTATAAAATTATTGATAAGATAAATTTTAAAAATGATAATAGTTTTATTTAATATTTTAAAGCTTTGAATTAAACTATTTAAAATTTATTATCTTCCAATAAGATTTTTAAGGATAAAAATCAAAGCATTATATTACAACAATTGGTCTTGCAATTCTGTTCCAAGCACTTATTCTTCTATCACCATATATATATATATATATATATATATATATATATATATATATATATATATAGTCTTAGTGATTAATAAAGGAATAAAAATATAAAAGATATTTAAATCAATTAGAGTCGATTATATATCTTATTATCTTTAAAAATATAATATTACTATATTTGATAGACTAAAATAAAGGCATGATATTTTTTTGAGATAAACAATTCACTCTACCGAATATATACATGGAAAATCCTTTTGAAATCGAAACTTCTTCAAAATGCTGAATTGAAATAATAATTGGTTCAGCAACGGCAAATCATCCTTCCTTCAACAAGTTGGTATGGGATTTTATTCATGAAGTGGTGGTGGGAGAACATGTTTTATTTCAATTGGTTGATCAAACGTTTTTTTTTATTATCAAATCTTGCTTAATGTTGATTTTATAGATCACTATTTTCTAGATGGCTAAACCTGAGGAGGAAACACCAAGGGAAAGAACAATAATCCAATAAAAAATAAACATGGATGCAACGAGACATCTAAAAGCTCATGGAAATGCCAAGTGTGCCAGGGTTATTTCGACAAGAATATGGTTGAAACAACAGATCAAACACAATGCTTTCTATTTGAAGCTGTTTTTTTGTTCAAAAATAGTTTTTTAATGTGGTATATATTTAAAGATTTTTACCCCATAAAATAATTAATAGAAAATCATATTCTCAAAAAAAAACTACATCTATTTTGAATAAAATATTTAATTAATTTTATGTGTCGAGATTAGATATGAAAGTTCGCTCTAATAGATTTAACAAAAATATTAAATTGAATATTAATATGTATTCATTCTTAATCTGATTGTTGTCTGATGTGAAAGAAGAGGTATATATATATATATTTTCTGTTTGTTATAAAAACACCTGCATAGAAAAAATTTAAGCAAATAATCAAATTGTATTTATTTTGGTTTGTGGATCGAATTTAATCGTGTGGGGCAGATTAAAATGATTTAAATAGTAATTAGATTTAATTAGAGAAAAATAAAATTCATGTAGACGCTATGTAGGTAATTTTGTGGAATATGGAGATTTAACATATAAAGGATAAATATAACCTTAAAATTGAATAATAAAGATAAATATATCAAAAAATATAACGAACAACAAATATAATCTTTATTCAGAAAGTACAAATAAATATGACCATTTTCATTAATAATAATAATATTTTTTGTTAAAAGAAAGCAGTACGCATTTACCTTTTTTTGTGTGGTCAACAATCAAATGGTAAAGGCCTAACGGGGAAGATGAGACTTTTCTAGCATGGTACCCACTCAACATTACCAACTTTAGACCAAACTTGGCCCCTTCTATAGATAAAATAATGTAAAAATTAGGCAAATGACATAGTATAAGAAAGAAATTACTTCTTTTCCTTACTCTTTTATTAATTACCAAAAATCCTTTTTTTTAGTGTTTTTCGGATACATAATATAGTATTGTGGATACTTAATATAGCAGCACGGATACTTTAATTAATAATGGACGGATACTTAAATTATTAAGTTGTTAGTAGCACGGATACTTAATTAATGGGCGGATGCATAATATAGCAGCACAGATACTTTAATTAATAACGGGCGGATACTTAAATTATTAAGTTGTTAGCAGCACGGATACTTAATTAACGGGCGGATGCATAATATAGCAGCGCGGATACTTTAATTAATAACGGGCGGATACTTAAACTAATAAAGTATCCGGTTAAGTTGAATTGGGGGAAAATAAGGGATTTTTGTATTTTAATAAAAGAGTAGGGAAGTATTGAGAATAGGTAAAGAAGTGTTGTGTATTTAAGTAAATTTTCCTAAAATAATATTCTTCTTACTCTTAATAATAAAGTGTCTAGCATTAGTTTTGAAATTTAATTTATTCAAGTGTCGAGAACTCTCAATTTAGGAATAAAATAATTCTTATTAAATATAATTTCATTTTTAAGACTCACACTTGAAAGCAAATTTATGAATTTATACATCGATTTCAAATTATTATTACAACAACAATAATAATAATAATAATAATAATGAGTTAAAATTATAAATGTTCAATATATTTATTTATATAGATAGATAGATAGAAAAAAGAAAAACATTCAAATTCACGTGAATTCGTAACTAATTCTCTAAATCTACCATCGTCTCTTGTAAAATATGAAGGCATGGGTGAAGCTAGGAGGAGCAAAAGAGATTCATCCGAACATCCTTTTTTTGAAACCATACTTTATATTTGAGGTAATTTTATTTTTTTATATATATATATACTAGTTTCTGGGAACGCACTTTGCGCGTGTAACCCGTATTAATAAGTATATTATTTTAAAAAAAAGAAAATACTATTAAGAAATATGATTTGAGTTCTTTTTTTTTATAAAATATGTCTAATTGAGGTTTCTTACTTTGTCTTACTACTAATTGTGACACGCCAATTTCATGACCTCCAAGTGAATGCACTGAGATAATAATATAAGAAGTTAATAAAATAAACTCTATTTATAAGTAAAAAAAACAAGCTTGTAAAGCAAAAAGGAAAAGATAACAACTATCTAAATTAAATTTGTCGATAATGTTAAAAGTTCCTTTTTGTTCGTAGAATAATGTCAGAAGATCAAAAGATTGTATCAGATTAATCCTCTGCAAATCGTGGTGCAATATTAATGTTTCTTCAATTAAAAGCTTGAGAGAAGACTATTTACTTTTTGTACCAAAAATGATGATTAACTTTGAGTGAAAGGAAAACAAAACCTTTCTACTTTTTTATTTTGAATCTCCTGATAATTATAATGAATGTGTTCAAAATATTATATAAAAATTTTATCCACAAGCACCTTAAACTAATTAGTTAATTATAAATATTTAAAACTAAGGTGTAAAAAGTCTTATTATTTATATTTTGAAAATCAAGATATTTATGAATATAACTACTATTTTTTATATAGAATTTAATTTTCTCTTCATACATAACTTATCCATCATTATCTAATGTTATATGTTTCACCTTCTTCTTTTGTATACATTTTATCACATTCATTCTTAAAGATGAAAGTTAATGTATATGTAAAACTACAAGTACAAAGAACAAAAAAAAAGATACACATGAGTAAGACAATTAGACATTTTTTTTTTTGTGTTTGTCTCTATAATGAAAACTGAATATTTGAGCATACAAAATGAAAATCTAAAATTAAAACAAGTTGCTAACAAAACAATAATTCAACTATAAGAAGAGAGATAGAAAAGTCTTATTATAATTCTAATTACTACAAATAAGTATAAAACTAACACCAAGCTCCGATGCTTCAGTAGTTAAATTCTTGTCTATTCTCAAATGACTGTATATGGGGATCACAACTTTCACCACAAATTGCGACATTATTTTACCACAAATTGTGACTCACACAACAATTGTATGAGTAGTAAATAAAAGTCTTTCTTGGAAAAGTTAAATTTATAAGACAAATTACGGAAACATGAAAAGTCACATGGGAAATTGAAAGGTCAAATACTATTAAAATAAATATAATGACTTACATTGTCTTTATAATAAATAACTAACAATTCAAATAATAATTTAAATATTATTATTTAATACTTAATTAATTAGATGTTTAATTTAGCCTAGACGTAAAATGGTAATCTAACTTTTCATCTTTGGAGCTTCCCAAAAATTACGGAAACATGAAAAGTCACATTGAAAATTGAAAGGTCAAATACTATTAAAATAAATATAATGATTCTTTCATTGCCTTTATAATAAATAACTAATAATTCAAATAATAATTAAAATATTATTATTTAATAATTTATTAATTAGATGTTTAATTTAACCTAGGGGTAAAATGGTAATCTAACTTTTCATCTATAGAGCTTCCCACTTATTCTTTCATTGTCTTTATAATAAATAACTAACAATTCAAATAATAATTAAAATATTATTATTTAATAATTTATTAATTAGATGTTTAATTTAGCCTAGGGGTAAAATGGTAATCTAACTTTTCATCTTTAGAGTTTCTCACATTTAATAATACTAGTTTCTGGCAATGTGTGTTGCACGTTTATCCCTTACTATTGTTATATAATTTAAAAATGTGTTATCAAATAGAAAATGCTTAAATCGACAATATTAATTTTACCAATTACATTTCATGTATTAAATAAAATGCATAAAAAGGGATTGAGCATTTGACATCAAACAAGAAGTATGTGAAATTAATTAAGATAATATAGTATCTTAACTCTGTGTCACTGTGTGTGCGTCTTTTTTATGATCTAAATATCATTGATAACCTTTTATAGCCATGAATGGAGTAAAAAAAATCATGCACGCATATTGACAGATTGCCTATTTTATTTTAATGAGAAACAGAGAGTGAAATATTTATATTATTTAAGTAAATTTCTAGAATTAAAAGGCTAATAAAAAAATACATGAAGATACACTTTCAAAATTTTATAAGATTTAAAAAGCAATAATTACATCCAAAATATAAAAGTGACAGATAAAGAATTAACAAACTGAACTTCATACATACAACTATTCCAAAAGCTCATAATAATAGCTAAAAGATCACACAACACCACAATGAGTTCATTAGAAATGCCAAAGAAATTATAAAAAACAATAATCTTCCTGTCTTTTTGCCTATCATATATAGATGCGATAGTTTTTTTTGATTATCCTCTTCTCAAGTTGAATGACATGAGTTTCTTTCATTTTTCAATGGTTATCATCCAGTTCTTAAATAGTAGTGAAAATATATGTTCAAATTTTATTTTTAGTTCTAAATAATAGTCTTTTAATATATAGATGGGAAGATGAAAAATACAAATCATAATTAGACTAAGTAAGAGAATTAACATTGCCACTAATTACTGCTCTGAACGTGGAATCTAGTTTAGTTTGAATGGATAACAAGATGAAAAATATAAATCATTGTAATTAGTACTCCCTCTGTCCCTAGTTACTTGTCCACTTTTAAATTGACACACCTATTAAGAAATCAATTAATGTCATAGTGAGTTTACCATTTTACCCCTATTCATTATGAAGTAGATGAAAAGTTCTGCATTTTTCAAAGTAATTAATCATCTAATTGAAGGTATAATAGGTAAAAAAAAATTGTCCTTTCTTGATTTGTCAAAATGGATAAGTAATTAGTGACAACTATAAAAGGAAAAGTGGACAAGTAATTAAGGAGAGGGAGTAATAAATAAGGCAATTACAAACCACCTCATTAATTATTAATTTGATATTAATTCACTCATATATAATAATACACTTTTAATACCTTAGTAATAAATCAAATAAATAAAGTCAGTAGCTTTAATCGGGTAAATGGGGGCTCTTTCCATATACCTGTAATTATTCTAGGCTATACATACATGTACTATTGATATTATCTAAAAATATATCTTTTCACATTCCAAACATTTAATTATTTGCTTAGTACTTTGAGTTTCTTCTGCTAATATCATTTATGAATAATGTTTAATCTATACTTCATATAAGTAGAGAAAAGTGTCAAATCACTTGATAATTTTTCTCTTTCTTTGTCAGAAATTTCCTTTAATTCTTACTCCTAGAATTCAGCCTTTTAGAACGTTGGGATAGAAAATTTACTTTAGAAATAATTTTAACAGATAGATGATTAAAAAAAAAAACTGCACACCTTTAGAAAATGTGGAGCATTAATATAGAAACGCAAGTATACCTAGAAATAGGGCTGTTAAACTTCTTATAATCTCCCTAAAATGTGTAATTAAGTCTTCAAACTTTTAAAATTTTACTATAAACCCTTGTGGTAATTTTAATTTTACTATTTACTATTAAATTAATTAGATGTTTGATTATTAACTCACCCTAGAATGTGTATTTAGTCTTAGTTAATTTATATTTTACTATTTATTATTTAATTAATTAAATATTTGATTTCGTGTAGGGGTAAAATGGTAATCTAACTTTTCACTTTTGAAACTTTCCACTTATAATAATACTAGACGCTCTATCAAGTGATATAAATTTGTTTTTTTTTTTTAAAAAAAGAATACCAATAACATATGGAGATAGTGGTCTTCATATATCATCCAATGAATGTTGAATGTTGCATGTAAATTGATATGACAATTATTCAATTCCAACGTGTATCAACTTTTCATGTTTCTCCATCTCCCATTTTCTTTAGTTCGTGCAAAAGGGAAAATTTAAGGAAAAGAAAGAAAATTAGAAGGAAGGCCAGGTGCTCAACTAAAGAAACAAAACTTGAAGGAAATGAAAATCATTTGTTACCTTTATATAGTGTTTTTATATGTTCTTTGAAATTCCTTTTAACATAATACTATGTATTTATTAACCTACACTTAAATACTTAATGAACTATTCAAATTCTACTGATTGTTATATTAACAAAGATTGGTTACTAAATTAAAAGTGTTAGAATTTGATAAGTCAAGTTAAGAAAATGAAAAGACAAATTATAGGAATTGTAAAAGTTAGGTAAAGTAATACATGATGTGTTAATTTAAAGCAATTAATCATGTATTATGTGAATTCCTTGGATACGTTTGTTTGTCTGAGGCTCTGAGAATTAAAGTACCACATTAAAGTACCACTTTTTCACTTCTAAATCCCGTTCAATTTATGTAATTGAAAAGTTAATTAATTGAATTTTATTCAACTTTTACTTAAGGTGCGCAAAATAATATTTTTTTAATCAAATATTTAATTAAATGTTTGATTTAATTAGATAATATATATATATATATATATTAATTAATAATTCAATTGTGAGGGGTTAATGCATATTAAGTATTGTAATTATAGGTTACATAAAAATTCGGTTATGAATACAAATATTTATTAGAGAAAACTTATTGAGAATTCTAATATTTGACTAATTAAATATTTTATAACATTTTAACTTATAGTAGGGGTAATATGGTAATCCAACTTTGAAGTTAAAAGCTTCCTACTTTTAATAATATATGATATGATATGATGTGATATATATATATCCTCTTGATTTATTGGTGGTTTACTTTAGATTTTAACTTTTTTTAATTAGTGAAAATTTTGACTTTGGTCACTAGACGGAGGTTACTTATTACCCTACCATAAGTAGTGGTTAGTCCCCTTTTTATCATCTAGATATGTTAATATACTTTATTGTGAATCATTTGATTTCTTTTTGTGTTTACTTGTTTACTCCATATTTTTACCTTTTTTTAATAAAAATTTTGACTCAACTATTAAACGGAGTAGTAAAGAAAGCCCGGGCAGCATAAAGTTATATTGTTACTCTCTCCGTCCCATATTAGATGAGAATCTTACTAAAAAATTTTTTCATATTATTTGAGCACTTATTAAATTAGGATATAATTAATTAATTCTTTTCCATTTTACCCCTACAATTAATATGACCATTCCTATATTGTATTTGTATTTTTTGTAACTCATTTCAATGTGCATTGATATAAACAAAGGGCAAAATGGTGAAGTCTTCCAATGTATTAATGATTTCTTAATCACCGTGTAAAGTTGGAAGTGCTCATCTAATATGGGACGGAGGGAGTATAGTTTATGAATTGTTATAAAATTAGTAAAGATTGTTATAGTATATTTTGCTCATAAGTGAGCTAATATAGAAACTTATTTGTCATTTGTCTTTTTAATTTCAATTTTAAATAGCAAATAAATGTAGCGATAAGATTGAGGGTAGAAATGAAGCATATCTTTGTAAATTTAAGTAAAAATAAACAGAGTAGAAGTAACATTAGGGTTATCGATAGGACGATTCATTCGATTATTTTTAAAAAAATTATATCATTCAATTTTTCGGCTATTTTATAATGACCAAACTTAAAATTTTAAAATCATCCCAATCCTAATTTATGTGACACAAGCAGTACAAAAATTAGTCTTTTTTTTGTTGTCTTGTAGATATTTTAAGTTATTATTTATTGTAAATTATAGTACTTTTATTAAAGTTTTTAATAACATATGTTACTTTTTATGTTTGAGAGTTAAACCAACTTTTTTTTATATGTCTTTTAATTCTATATGTGTTTTGTCCTTTTCCATTTTCAAAAACCAATACTCTCTCCATTTTATTTTATATGTCATTTCTTTTTATAAATATTATTTTCTCTTCTTATTGAAACACATGTTGACTTGTGGTGAATAGTTATTCCCTCTTCTTATATAATAAAATACATTGATATTTGTTAGTTGTTACTCTAAAGTTTACCCTAACATTTGGTGGTAGGGCCCCTTCTTTATGTATATTACATGGTAAGTATCATCCCTATGGCTTATCTTCAACAAACACACAGCAAATATTCTAGTCTACATTATTTCTTGCAATTCCACTAACAACAATTTTTCAGCAAAAAAAATGGCTGATGAAGTTGTCCTTTTGGGTACATATGTGAGCATGTTCGCTGTGAGAGTAAAGATTGCCCTGGCTGACAAAGGGATCCAATATGAGTACAAAGAAGAGAACTTGGTGAACAAAAGTCCTTTACTCTTACAAATGAATCCAATTCACAAGAAAATCCCAGTGTTGATCCATAATGGAAAACCAATATGTGAGTCCCTCATAATTGTTGAGTACATAGATGAAGTTTGGAAGGACAAATCACCTTTGTTGCCTAGTGATCCTTATAAGAAAGCTCAAGCTAGGTTTTGGGCTGATTATGTTGACAAAAAGGTATGTAACTATCACAAAATATGTTTGTCATCGTAGTATATCTAGTTTAGATCCTATAATTTGTAAGAGCCTGTTTTAGTCATAGGTGTGACTTTTATGCTAACATAAATTTAGGTTGAGATGCACCAAGGGTGTAGCCTAGTGGTTGAGAATTTTGAGGTCTCAGGTTCAAAATTCAGCGGCGACAAAAAAACACTAGGTGATTATTTCCATTTGTCCTAGCCTTGGTAGACAAGGTTATCTGGTAACTCTTGTTGGTGGGAGGTGAAAGGTATCCCGTGGAATTAGTCGAGGTGTGCGAAAGCTGACCATAAAAAAATAAAAAACAATATTAGGTTGAGATAGATTTAGGTAGAGAGCTATAGTCCGCGAGGATTCATATAGCTGATTCCAACTTGTTTGAAATTGAGGCGTAGTGTAAGATTTATTTATTTATGAGCTAAATTTGATTTCAAAAGATGTAATCTTTTTCTTGTTTTTTGTTTTTGTGGGAGATCACAGATTTATGATGGTGGAAAGAAAATTTGGACAACAAAAGTGGAGGACCAAGAAGCAGCTAATAAAGAATTCATAGAGTGTTTGAAGGTGTTGGAAGAAGAATTGGGAGACAAACCATACTTTGATGGAGAAAGTTTTGGTTTTGTGGATTTGGCACTTATTCCTTACTATAGTTGGTTCCCTGCTTATGAAAAATTTGGCAAATTTAGTATTGAACCAGAGTGTCCTAAGTTTGTGGCATGGGCCAAGAGGTGTATGCAAAAGGAGAATGTCTCTAAGTATCTTTCTGATCCTGACAAAATCTATGATTTTGTTGTCATGTTGAGACAGAGGATGGGCATTGCCTAAAAAAGCCGGATCTAGAGCATGTTCAACTGAAGTTGTTGTTTCTAGTTCATACTATGTTTGCGAATAAATTCTCTTGCCCTATGCTCCTTTTTTGTTCTTTTGAACTCAGGGAGGAAGCCTGAAAAAGTTGTGTTTGTGTTGATGACTCTGTATGCTTTATGTAATAAGTTAAGTAATGAAAGGTGATATTACTATATGTATACTTATGTTGCATATGTACAACGTTCGAGTCAGAAGGGAAGTCTTGGATCAACGGTAAATTATCTCTGTGTAACCTATTGGTAACAGGTTTGAGCGATGGAATCAACTATTGATGCTTGCTTTAGACTGCTTACACAAAATTCGGCTGAACACACAAAATTCAAATAGAATCGACCCCAGACTGCTAGACATATTGAAAACTTTAGACGATGCCAATGGGAAAAACTGATTACTTCTCATTTCAAAGAGGAAAATCCCCAGAATCATACCATACATAGATGACAGAAAGTCAAGACTCAACCAAACAGATCTAAGAGTCTTTCATTACAATAAAAAGTAGAACTGACTTACATTATGACCAAACAAATATTTCAAATCTGAAACAACAACACAATAAGGGCGAGGCGCCTTTATTAGCACAATTATGGTCCATATGTTTATTCAATTCCAAACTTGTGCCTAAGAGTCTTTACAAACTCAAGGACCTTATGTTGGTCAGGCAAAGACTTAGCCACACTGTCCCTCAGCATGCACCTCTTGGCCCAAGCCACAAACTTTGGACACTCAGCTTCTGTGCTGATGTTACCATAAGTCTCATAAGAATGAAACCAGCTGTAGAACCCAATGAGAGCAATATCAACAAAACCAAAGTTATCTCCTCCAAAGTAAGGCTTCTCTCCAAGTGCTCCCTCCAGCACTTTAAGGCATTCTATGAAATCTTTCTTAGCTGCCTCTTGCTCTTCTCCCTTTGTTGTCCATAGCTTCCTCCCAGAATCAAACAGCTGAAATTTTCAACAAACAAAAAGAGAATAGTTAGTAACAATTTTACTTTACCGTCTTAATTATGTGTCAAGTCCAACTAACGCACATCAATTGGAACGAAGGGACTATGAATTTACCTTCTTGTCAATGTAGTCAGCCCAAAACCTAGCTTGTGCTCTGTCATATGGATCTGAAGGGAGAAAAGGGGCTTTATCCTTCCAAACTTCGTCAATGTACTCAACTCCAATAATAGACTCACAGATTGGTTTTCCATTGTGAATCAAAACAGGGATTTTCTTGTGGATAGGATTCATCTGCAAAAGCAGAGGACTTTTGTTCCTCAAATCCTCGTCTTTGTACTCATATTTAATCTCTTTTTCAGCAAGTGCAACCCTTAGCCTCATACCAAACATGCTAGGCCAAAAATCCAACAGAATGACTTCATCATTAGCCATTTTTGTTGTATGAATGAAGAAAGAAGAAAAAGAATTTTGCAGAATTGGTAATACTGATATGTTAATGGTACGGTACAATATATATAGTGTTGTGGCGGTCCATTCACACAGTTTTTATGGCTATGCACGACCTAAAAATACCACTTATTTTAAAACACGGAGTATTCGAGATTCGTTTCTAACCTATATGTCAGTGCTCTCGTCACATCATGTGACTTTGAGTCACATGGACTATTATAGAGTTGAAGCAATAGAGGGCCTTCAACGTTCTTCTGTTCCTTTTTTTTTTTTCTTTCTTCGAAATCTATGCATTTTGTCACTACATTCGTCAGATGCATTTTTTTACTACGAAACAAATTTTAGGACTCGTGTTTTATGTTTGGTCACGGGATTTTTTTTTTTATAAGCGCTCCAAATCTTGTTTTCCAACTCTATCTTTGTATATTTCAAATAAAGTGTTCCATTTTCTTCTTTGCAAAAAGTATAATCAAACACGACATAATTTTCAATTTCATAAATTTAAATTAAACAAAATATTTGAATTTTTATGGTCAATATAAAGAGTATTAGGAATTGTTATCCTTATCTCATCAACCAAATGAGCCCAACTTACTTACTTATGAAGCTTATCATGTGCAGAATATAGCTGACCTACAACTTGTTTGAAAATATGATGCTCATGAAAAGAGTGATTACTTCTCAATACAAGGAATACAACAATAGAAGCACCAGATTACAAAAAAGACAAACACTCTCTACATAACAAAGCTAATTAAGAGTCCTTTGTTACAATTAAAAGTAGTACTGACTTACACTGACCAAACAAACAATGCATTATGAAAAGAATAAATATAGCTTATGGAGCAAGGATGAACAAAGACTAAACATCGACTACTGAATACGATAATTTCTTTACACTATCAGTGTGTATAAATTATTCGAGTAAGTATCGCGTACAAAAGGTACAATGCCCCCAACTTCACAACAACTTATTTATATAGCATCTGTCAAATTTAATTCACATACCAACACTGTAAACAGCTTGATAAAAATTCGGTAATGGGGTGCTGCTCCTTTAACTAATTCACAGGTTCTTTGGGTGATGGGTCAGGTAATTTAGCTCATGTCCTGTAAAATACAAATCTTGATGTGTGAGTGAATGTTATTTATTTATACAACCAAAACCCAACAAAGCATTAAATCACTCGGGTCAGCCATCGCGCCAAAAGTAATGAGTTCAACTGAAGACACAAAATCCAAGTACATATGCCTCCAGACTGCTGAAAGATATGCATTGCACTCATCATAAAAATGAGCCTGGTTTACTGGAAAATGGGATGCAGAATTGAAACAAGATAGATGGTGAGATGAGCCCTGCTCTTCGAAACACTTGGAAAACAGAGCTAACAAGAATCAAGAACAAGTGAAATAATGGAACTGTCATCAGTTTATTATATGTTCCTCATAGTACAGAGTAGAATATAGAGTAGAATCATATAGCCAATCTCAACTTGTTTAGAACTGAAGCGTAATTATTTTGATAGTAGATGATGCCAATGAAAAAGTAATTACTTCTCATTACAAAGAGGAGAAGCCCCAGAATTACATACAAGGACTACAAAAGCCAACACTCAACAAGACACTAAAGTAAAGTAGAAGAAAACTAACATTTCAAATCTTGAAACAACAACTCAAGAAAGGCACAATGAAGTGCCTTTTTTCAATACATTATGATGCATAATTGCATAAGCATATTTTTATTCAATTCCAAGCCTCTGCCTAACAGGTTTCACATACTCGAGAACCTTATGTTGGTCTGGCAAAGACTTAGCCACACTGTCCCTCTGCATACACCTCTTGGCCCAAGCAAAAAACTTTGGGAACTCAGCTTCTGTGCTGAAGTTACCATAAGTCTCATAGGCACTAAACCAGCAGTAGAACCCAATCAGAGCAATATCCACAAAACCAAAGTTATCCCCTCCAAAATAAGGCTTCTCTCCTAGTTCTCCCTCCAGCACTTTAAGGCATTCTATGAAATCTTTCTTCGCTGTCTCTTGCTCTTCTCCCTTTGTTGTCCACAGCTTCCTTGCAGGCCAATAAAACTGAAAAATTTCAACAAACGCAGAAAAAGAAACGGGTCATCACTTGTTGACACAAAACTAAAATAAAAGTCCTACTCAGTTCATGGAAAATGGACCTTAGACACTAGCGAAACGTAGCATACGAAGTGAGGATTAACCAATGTTGACACAAAACTAAAATAAAAGTCCTAGTCAGTTCATGGAAAATGGACCTTAGACTAAGTGAGGATTAACCAATGCTACATAACAAGACATAATTCCAATTCTTCAATTAAAGTGAAACTCTAACAACCCCGCACGTAGGACTGAACATCTAAAGCATGGAACGTAGCTTATGAAGTAAGGATTAACCAAGACTATATAATGAGATAAATTTCCATTTCATCAACCAAACGCAAAACTCTAACACACCACACGCCTAGAATTAAGCATCTGAAACAGGGGGAGTCCTAGCTTATGAAGTGAGGATAACAAGGCGTTTAGTCAAACACCACTCCAATTTTCAAATATCATTTTTCACCTTGGAAACAAATTTACTTTTTTCAAATTTCACAATAAAACATAACCAAACGACAACGAGACTATTTCATTTCTACAACTAATGCGAAACTCTAATACACCACACGCCCAAGACTGAACATTCGGAGCACGAATAGTATAGTAAAAGGGCCCACATTGGGTGTACCACAAAAAAAAAGTCAATCTCATTAGGTCACCATTGACAAAGACAATTAAGAAAACAACATTTCACTCTCAACCAATCAATGTGAAACTACTCAAATAATACAACACATAACAACACTGCTTCAATCCCAAATTAGTACCGAATCGACTAAATAAACCTAATTCGTGAATCGAAAAGGCGGAAAAAATGAATTTACCTTCTTGTCAATGTAGTCAGCCCAAAACCTAGCTTGTGCCCTCTCATAAGGATCAGAAGGGAGCAAAGGGGCTTTGTCCTTCCAAACTTCGTCAATGTACTCGACTCCAATAATAGACTCACAGATGGGTTTTCCATTATGAATCAAAACTGGGATTTTCTTGTGAATAGGATTCATCTGCAAAAGCAGAGGTCTTTTGTTCTTCAAATCCTCTTCTCTGTACTCATATTTAACCTCTTTTTCAGCAAGTGCAATCCTCACCCTCAAGCCAAACATGCTAGGCCAGAAATCCAACACAATCACCTCATCGTTAGCCATTTTTGATGTAAGAAAATTTCAATTTTCCCCAAAATTGCAACTACTGATTTGATAAATGTACATACACAACCCTATATGTATAGCACTTGGAGATTCGTTTGTAGCTCTCCAAATGTTTTTTTTTTTTTACTAAAAACAAATTTACTCCCTCCATTCCATATTAAGTTAATTTTAGAGGCAGTTTTCATTTTTTAAATTAATTTAATTATTTAGTTTTCAAGATTATTTTTAGAGTGTTCTTCCAATTTTACCTTTCATTAGTTAGTATTGGAATTAGTGATTAATTAATATTTAGTTATTTTAATCATAAATTTGACAATAATTAATAAGGATAAAAATAAAAAACTAGGTTCAATTTATCTATTAATCTATTTTTCTTAAAGGGTGTGAAACACCTCCACAATTAACTTAATATGGAATGAAGGGAGTACTATTAGAGTCAAACATAGTAACTTTGATTGACTAACATTTTATGATGTATTTTTCATTATATTGATATGTAAAAAATTGAAATGTATAGTATTTTTCATATAATTTTTGAATATCTAATTTTTTTTATTTAAAATATCAAATTAATGTAATCTAACTTAACTTTGAAAATTAGTCAAATTGACTTTCGAAAAACGCAACATGACAATTTAAAAAAGGCAAAGAAAATAATATAATATGAAAAGGATTTTTGAAACACAAATCACGTTTTTCGCTCCATTTTATATTACTTGACACGTGTTATTAGTGATGTTATGAAATTCTAAATTTGACTAATATTTTATGTAGATATTTAATACAAAGAATAATATGAAAAAAATAATACAACACTCTTAATTTGTTGAAATTAATAAGTAAAATGAAATATTTATTATTGATATACTAGTCAAGTAAAATAAAACAGATCAAGTGATAAATAAAATCTAGTGATATTTTTTAATACACTTGTTTGTTATATGGGATCCCTTGTTATATTGTAGTAGTAATATTTAAGGCTTGTTAAGTCATGAGCATTATTCCCAATTTTTTTTTTGGGGGGAAGGGGTGGGGAGGGATAATTTTCACTTTATTTTTGGTCGAAATTGGATTAGAAAGTTTAAAAAGTGCTTCAAATCTTGGCTTCCAATCATTTTCATAAATTCCAAGGAAAAGGGTCAAAAATACCCCTCAACTTTGGTTTATTGTTTGACTAGGCTCTCGCCGTTAAAATGAAGTTATTTTTACCCCTCCCGTTACTAATTTCACCAAATTTACCCCTCAATTGGATGGAAATCCCCAAATTGACTCAGTTTAACCCAAATTTTAAAAAAAGACCCATTCCCCATTTTAAACCCAATGCCCGACCCGTCCAAAGTTGAGGGGTATTTTTGACCCTTTGCCCTCAATTGGATGAAAAATCCAAATCAACTAAAATTACCCAATTTCAAGTAAATGACCCGATTTTCTCTTTTAATCCACACCCGACCCATTTATATCAAATTAGAACCCTAAACCCATCTCTCTAATCTTCTCCATCTCCTTCTTCCATTGAAACACATACTACTAAAATTGACAACAAATATTCTGTAGTTAAATTCATGCATATTTGTCCTTCCTACTAAAATTGCACCACTATTTAAGTGTGGTCGGAGCTTGGAGCTCGTTCAATCATCGGATTTTGCTTTTCTGCGGGCAGATTTGAAACTATGATATTGCTTGCTTGTTGAGCCTAGCCAGATATGAAGTTGTGGCTGTTGTTTTTGAGCCTTGATTCTCGCCTGATTGTGTTGTTGGTTTGATCTGTTAGCGGTGCTTCAGTTGTTTTCTGATGGGGTTTTGGTCGGGGTTTTGTTGGTTGGTTGTTTGGAGGTCGGAGAACTGGTGGTCTGGTGGTCATTTGCTGGTTGTTTTAGCTTGGGTGATGGAGGTCTGGGTTCTGGTGGGCTGAAGTGTGGTTTTACCACTGGATTTTGGCGTGGAGAGGGTGGTGTTTGAGAGCTGTTTCAGGTCGGTTTTCACGGCTGTTTGAATGATTCCGACGGTGGGTGGTTTGCTTAATGTTGTTCTAGCTTGGAACTGGCCGAAAATGGAGAAGAAAGATCTTGTTGTCGTCACTGGAAAGTAGAGGAAAATGGGATTGTTGTTAATGTTTTCTGCTTGATGTCGTTTATGGTTTTTGGGGGTTTTGAGTGGTGGTTTCAGGTGGTCGTTTGGAGGTTGTTTTAGTGGTGTTTCGCCGGAAAACGGAGAAAATGAATGGGGATTGCTGGAGCTTGATTTGGGGTTTTAATTTGGTATAAATGGGTCGGGTTCGGATTAAAAAGAGAAAAAATTGGGTTATTTAATTGAAATTGGGTAATTTTAATTGATTTGGGTTTTCCATCCAATTGAGGGGTAAATTTGGTGAAATTAGTAACGGGAGGGGTAAAAATAACTTCATTTTAACGGCGAGGGCATAGTCAAACAATAAACCAAAGTTGAGGGGTATTTTTGACCCTTTTCCCTAAATTCCAAAGGTCCCAATTCCAAATAAAGGGTTTTTTTTTTCTTTCAAAAAGTATAATCAAATATAACTTCTTTAATTTAACTTTATAAATTTTTAATAAAGTGAAAAGTACTATTTGAATTTTCTTTGATATCAACAATTCCGAATGACACTTTTATCATAGTTAACATTAATTGAAATAAGGTATTCAAATATTCATAGGTTGAGTTTACGTGTTCAAGTGAATATGTGGACTAGTTTAGAGGGCATTTATGTATTACAACTTTAAAATATACATAATGGATTATTTTGATATTTTCACAAAAAGCACTGCTAAGTTAACTTAGTGAAGATGGCTAGGTTGAAGCTATAATCCTTGATTCTCAACTATATATCCACAACACTACACAAAAGACAATATATTGGATATTGTGGTAACGTAGATGGTTTATATAAGTTTAGATCTCTAATCTAGAAAAAATATAAATCTTTCTCAAAGTTTTAAAATTTGAAAAGATATATTTGAATTGAAGTCCAAAATAAACAAATCGATCTATTTACTCTAGTGTAGCTCCGAAATCTTTAAATTTTAGATATTTTATGTAGATATTTAATACAAAGAATAGTATGAACTGTTGGTCTAATTTAACCTCAAAAGTTAACTCATCAAGTCATCATAATTGACCAAGTCTATAAGTAAACAACATTTCACTCCAATAATACAACACAAAACAACAATGATTCCTTGTTCAAATTGGCTAAAGAATCCTAGCTAGTTAATGAACAAAAAAGGAGGAAAGGTTATAAATTTACCTTCTTGTTAATGTAATCAGCCCAAAACCTAGCTTGTGCTCTCTCATAAGGATCAGAAGGGAGCAAAGGGATTTTGTCCTTCCAAACTTCCTCAATATACTCAACTCCAATAATAGACTCACATATTGGTTTTCCATTGTGAATCAATACTGGAACTTTCTTGTGTATAGGATTCATCTCTAAAAGCAAATGACTTTTTTTCCACAAATCTCCTTCTTTGAACTCATATTTAACCTCTTTTTCAGCAAGTGCAATCCTTAGCCTCATACCAAACATGCTAGGACAAAAATCCAACAAAACCACCTCATCATTAACCATTTTTGTGCTGCATGAAGGGCAAGTGAGAAGAAGAAACAGCAAGTTTAATATTTTTTCACAATTGCAACTGATTTGTTAGTTATACATACACATCCTACATATATAGTGTTGTGGAGTTTTTGTGTATTATTAATAGCATTGTGTCATCCATTGGGGTGTTTAACTATTAATTTTGTAACTAAGTAAATTTAATTTAAATATTCAAATTACGATTTGTTTCGATTATGACTCTACTTAAATAAGTTAATTACTTAAAATATGTACGCATTAGGCTTAACAAGTCAGAAAAATCTCATGTCTTTACAAATGAGGTTGATATGCATAATTAAAGGAGATTAAGATAATATATTTTATGTGGTTATTAACTTAATTATCTAAGTAGACGTTCACAAAAGAATTCATGAATTTGAGTTGAAAGTGTCTAATAAGAATTCTTTATCATACGTTCAAGTGCTCAATTGGAACATATTGTAATTCTATTGTTTAAATGAAATGTACTAACAAGTTTTTTAAGAAATAGTGGATGTATTAAACCTTTTTTACTTTGTCCTCATTTATTTGACATTATTTTATTCTTAGTCGTCGATCTCATTTTATCTTTAATGAAATTATTCATAGTCATACAAATATCTGAGTGATTTACGAGATTGATTTTGGAGGCATATAGTCATAAACTTTGACCTAACTTATTTTGCGATAAAATTTCAGATTCAATAAGTTTCGACTTTTAATCTTGAATGCTTGTTCATATGACAAATAGAGAACTACTTAATTTCAAGATCATTAGATATATTTTTCTATAAAGTATCTATAACTTATTTTAAATAACAAAATTTGATATTTTTAAACGTCATTTTACACAGATAGATAGGTCATTACTTTCGTCACGAGGTCCATATTATTTTATTTCCTAGAAAACTACTTCATCGTATTATTTTATAATATGTTTTAGATATACATAACACATCATTGAAGTCTATAATATTTTGAGATTTTTCCTTTGTGGCCTAATTATATACTCTGTATGTCATCGCTTCCATCACGTGGTCTATTTTATATTATATATATTAGAGTTCAAGCAATAAGGCTATAGTTCTTGATTTCCTTTTTGTTATTATATTTTTATTAATTCATTTAAAATATTTAATTAATATATCATATTTAAAAATAAATAAATAAATAAATAAATAAATATATATATTCTTAAACTCCAATTCAAGTTAATTATGACAAACAAATTGATTTAGAGATTTTGATAAAAATGGTAGTTTATTAATTCCATTCATTTAT